TATATATATATATATATATATATATATATATATATATATATATATATATATATATATATATATATATATATATATATATATATATATATATATGTATGTATATATATATATATATATATATATATATATATATATATATATATATATATATATATATATATATATATATATATATATATATATATATATATATATATGTATATATATATAAAGCATAAGTAATATATATGTATATATATTTTACTTATGCTTTTTTTTTTTTTTTTTTTTTTTATAAAAATATTTTTAAAAAAGGGGGGATTTAATGTAACTATTATTTGAGCTCACTTATTTTTATAGTTTTTTATAAAAAAATAAGTGAGCTCAAAAAATAGTTACATTAAATCCCCCCTTTTAAAAAAATTTTTAATTTGTTTTCTAAGCTTAATTTCTTATTCTGCAATAAGTTCACTTGTTTCTTTTTGGTATTTTAATTGAAGAGGTCTACAAAAATGAGGACTGGATGGCTTTGGATTATTCCAGATGTTTGAATCCCCAATTATTAATTTTAAAAAAACTATTGCAGTTTGAAATACAGACTATTCATTCTGCGCTCCAGTAGAAAGATCAGCATAGTCAAATCTTTGATTATAAATACTTTGCAAAAATGACTCGCCCATACCACATTTCAAATTAAATACCCCATGGGTTACAGTTTCATCTAAATTCTGAAGCAGCTTAGAATTTATTTTTAAAATTCGAGACAAAGTATGGTTAACCATGTTCTGTAAACTACAATTTGCAAACGTTTCTGTAATAAGCAAATCCTCTGGATAACAATCTGCTTTTGATTTAAGGATTGTTTTTAATGGAGGATAAATGTTGGCATTTGCACTAGAGATGAGTTTCTAATCATCTGATATAAATCACTCAAATCACAATGAATTTTAAGCGATAAAGCTTGATCTGCAGACATCATAACTGATGGTTGATGTTTATCACTTTGGTTTGTTTCATTTTTATTTTCAGAAAGTAGTTTAATTTTCTTTCCCAAATTAGATTTTCCAGGACTAGATTTTGCACGTAAAATAGCAGCTTCTGATAATTCTTCAGTTGTATGGACTTTAGCTAAACTAAAATAATATAAACATTATTAGATAAATTTTTATAAATTTTTCTTGATATGATAATGATAAGGTTATCCAACGCATAACAAATATAATAAATACTTCTAAACTAGAAAATACATTGACACTTTCTTCTTTTTATTCTTAATAAATACTCTGCCCATTTTTTTTCTGGTCTTCCTTCTTTTAAAGTTGATTCAGGATTAGTATATTTATTATGAAACAAATCACCCTCTAACCAGTTCTCTTCTTGTTTAATCAGTCTTTCAAAATTACAACTATTGCATTACGACTTTTGCATACTTAATTCTAAATTTTTGAATAAAAAGTCTAATTTTTTTGTAGAGTTTTACATCACTGATGTGATCAGACAGTTTGTTATTGGTGAGCTTTTTTTCCACCTCAGCTTTTAAAATGGCTTGCAAATTCGCATTATTTGTACCAACTTCTTTAATTATTTTTATAAGTTCTAATCGTTTCATGTTTAATTATTAACAACGAAAATTCTTCTATAATTTATCGTGCAACGCTTGTTTTTCAAAACCAATTGAAATAAACAATCTAGTAAAAATCTGAATGTTTGATTAAAATCTATTACTATGATAATATCTACTTTAAAATGTTGGATTAGACTGTTTGAGTATGTACTGCACTTTAAATATAAAATAATAATTAAAAAAATCTTCTGAATATACTCTTTAAAATAAATATTTTTTAAAAACAATCTTTAAGTTCCACTACAGAAAACCAATCTATTTTGTGTTTAAGTACTGCTCTCATCCGATTATAGAAAAAAATAACTTTCTCTAAAATAAAAAATTCGGATAAAAGCTTTGGCCACATTTTCGCGATTTGGACTCATAGTGCGTCGGCTTTGCGCGTCCTTCCGTATAGTAGTCCTTGGGTCGTTGTTAAAGATTTTAAAAAATGCGTGTGTATGTGTGTGTATGTGCACCTATTATTAATAGTTTGATATACAAATAAACTAGCTCTTAATAGTAGAGATGTTTTATAATTTAATGCAGATCCTAGGGAATGGCGACGGTTCCCATTTTGTTAATGATATAGAAGGTGCCTGTACCACCTTAATTAAGAATATACTGCATTTGAATTTTAGTTTAGATTTATTTTAAATAATAATATATTAAACAAGCAGTGTTCATTTTTGTACTTTTACAATTTTAATTTTTATAATGTTTTTTATTGTTTATTCTCAAATTTGAGAATAGCTGAACAGTGATTTGTCCGCAACTTGAGGAGTAAAAAAAAGTTTAACCCACCCAATGATTCGCAGGACGTAGAAATGCTAAAACTCTTTTAAATATTCTGCTAAGCACGGATTTTGATCAACTCTGCCCGAGCACAAAACTTTATCAACTTTCCCAATTCACCCCAAAATTATCCAACGTTATACTGAAAACCTGAAATCAATCAAAGTATATAAGTTAATAGTATGTTTGTGTATTTTTTGTAATTTCTCGTAGTTACATCAACTAGATTATGCCACAATTTGGAAAAATTTTACAATTACACCTTCAGTGCATTTGTCTGTGCCAAAAATGGTTTTTTCATACTTTTCACAGTCTAGGACTTATTTTTTTAATACAATTTACTTCAGTAGGTAATATTACAAACCTAACAAAAATGTTGCCATAAATGAGTAATAATATGGGGTTAAGTTAAAATTGGTAAGAAAGAAAAACTCACTAGACTATCAGCTGTCCATTTCACATCGTAGATATCCAAAAACTTCTTTGGTTTCTATCCTTATTTACCCCGTTTTACATTGAATACAAATTCCGAGCTAATTGCCAAAAAATTTTTTTTTGGTTTGATGTTAAAATGTGTTTTATGAGCCAAACGCTACACACTCTACGCACTCCTATAGCAGTAATTAGAACTACTTCTACAATCAATATCACTTAACCGGTTATTACTGCGTGTTTGGCACATAGATATTTTAAAATCAAACTAAAGTTTTTCATTTTTGACATTTTGCGCGGATTTTTTTTCAGTCTCCTATCTAAATTCATACTATTCAAATTAACGGTTCTTCCCTACCTCTCAATAATAAAGTAAAACCTTGTATTCTTAAAGGTTATTCAAAACCATATACAAAATACAGCTATCCTCCAAACAGGAAATGTAAACGAACCCATTTTTCAATTTTATTCAATCTCCAGAGCTCTTATGAAACTGGTATTTGTTTTTGTCAGTCATTATCTATTGTGCATTTGTTCAAATCTCTGTGCCGAAAAGTACGGCTTAGAAATTTGTAATAATAACAACAAATTTTTTAATAATTTTGACACTGTTGGAAGATCAACAAAACGCTTCTTCAGCATATCAAAGTACAGCAATTATTATCTACATTCCTTCTTTAAAACCACCCTCATACCTTTCTCATTGTGGCCAACGACACTGGGGAGGAGGGGCAGGGTATCCCCAATTTTTTTCTAAAGAACATTTTTTCCCCCAGAAATTTCTATATATAAAGAATGGTTGTGCTCCTCACTTCAGAACTCGTGTCATCGGCTCGGCTCATTCGAAACAAATTAAATCTGTTTATCAGACTACTTAGCAAACCGAATTGTTTTTTCCTAAGATAAATAAAGCTAACGACTTTTTAACTTTGTTGATAAAGGGAAAAGAACAAGCTCCAGTTGGTTGATATAACAATAACCACTTTATAAAATGTACCCAGCAAGCAAACGACGTCTTATCAACGTCTGCGCATTGTTGAAATGTCAACGTCGGAAATTTCAACGTCTATTCCACGTTGATTTATAGTTGATAAACTAACGGTAAAGAAAATGGCGTTGTTTCAACGTCTGAACAAAGAGGAAATTTCAACGTCGGCATTTTCAACGCTTATTCCACGTTGATGTATTGGTAATAAACTAACGTTGATATAATCAACGTTAAATCAACATGTCTTTTTACTTTCTGTTTGATATCGCGAACTTCTTATTTGAAATAAAGATGGCTAATCGCTCGGAGAAACGTGCTATTTTTTATTGTACTTTATTAAAAAGTGTAAAGTATTTACAAATTATTCATACAAAAGAGTTATTCTTTTATTTGACTTTTGTAAATAGCTATTTACAAGTAATCTAAAATATATTTTAATTTATGGATTATAAGTAATTCAAGTTTTTTTGGTTTATAATTTTCATTTTTTATTCTGCTGGCAGGAAGTAGTGATGCTTCAATGCCATTTTAATATTATTAGTAATGATTATTAAAAAGAATTCACTTTTTGTTAGGAAACATTATTTTACACATTTACACAACTTTAATTACAAAAATACATTTTGAATTACTTTTTTAACTAAAGCTAAAATTGCTAGTAAAAACATTATAATTTACTACTCTGAGAACTAGTTCTCAGAGTAGTAAATTATAATTTTTTTTCTAGCAATTTTAGCTTTAGTTAAAAAAGTAATTCAAAATGTATTTTTGTAAATGTGTAAATGTGTAAAACAAAGTTTCCTAACAAATACATATATAATATACACATGTATATAATGTAAGGTATATAATATACACATGTATACACACACACATGTATATATATATATATATATATATATATATATATATATATATATATATATATATATATATATATATATATATATATATTATATACTTATAATTATATAATACTTTAATTACAAAATGTATTTTTGTAATTAAAGTATAATATATTATATATTAATATATATATATATATATATATATATATATATATATATATATATATATATATATATATATATATATATATATATATATATATATATATATGACAATTTCAAAAAATCTGTATGAAATATATTCCTGGCTAACACCCTAATATAAATATATTTAATTAATTATTTTTAGGAATAAAAGTATTTAGTTGCTATGTCATTACGGATTACACAATGGAGAAAAATTAATAAATCAGTAATTGATTTATTTACTGAGACAGATAGTACAATAGAAACAGATAAACAACAAATAAATGTTTCAGATTATAGAGTTCTTTCTGAAGAATCGATTGAGCAAGAAGTTGAAGGTGTTGAAGAAACAGATTTTGACTCAGATTCCAATCTTGACTCCGCCGGAGTCTCCGATAGTTCTGATTCTAATTCTTGTTTCTTGAATCATGGAAACTTTATAGATGACAAAATAATAAATGGAAATCTACGTGAAGAATTAGCAGAATGGGTTGTTGTAAACCAAACTTCACATTCTGCAACAAATCAACTTCTTTTTATTTTGAGGAAAAATGGCCACACAGAGCTTCCAAAAGATGTAAGAACATTATTGAAAATTCCAAGTAACATTCCTCTGAAGAATAAGTGTGGTGGCGATTACATTTATTATGGTTTGGAAACTAATATTTTAAAACATTTAAGCAAATTTCCAAATCTTGCGAAAATTGAATTAGTTGTTAATGTTGATGGAATACCATTATTTAAAAGCACGTCAGTAGCTTTATGGTCCATACTTTGCTCATTTTCAAGTATCCAACCATTTGCTGTAGCTATTTTCTGTGGTAAGAGCAAACCTTCATCTGAAGAAAGCTTTATGTTTGATTTTGTAACTGAGTTAACAAATTTATTACAAAATGGAATCAAAACTCAATATAAACATTACTTAGTTTCCCTTAAATCATTTTGTTGTGATGCTCCAGCTCGACAATTTTTGAAGTCTATAATTAGCCATAATGGATACGATTCGTGTGAGCGATGTATTATTCATGGTGCACGTATTAATCACAGACAAATTTTTTTGGGGTCAGGATATACTCTGAGAAATGATACAGAATTTAACCTACACGGTTACAAAGAACACCAAAAAACTTTATGTACTCTAGCTAAATATAATATACCATGTGTTACATCATTTGTTTTAGATATCATGCATTTGGTTTATTTAGGAGTAACTAAAAGAATAATAATTTTTTTCAACGAAGGTAAAAGATCATGCAGGATATCAGAGATTCAAAAAGCAGTTATTTCTGAAAAACTTAGAGAATTATCAGGAAAATTGCCCAGCGAGTTTGCAAGACAACCAAGAGGTATTGATGAGTTTAAACGCTGGAAAGCTACAGAGTTCAAAAATTTTCTTTTATATACCGGTATGATTGTTTTAAAAAATGTAGTTTCTCAAGAAATATATACACATTTCTTAAGCTTATCAGTTGCTATGAGTATAATGATTGATAATGATCTTTTGAATGATCATAAGTTGTTAATGTATGCAAAAGGGCTCTTGGAATGGTTTGTATATCGGTCATCATTTCTTTATGGACAAGAGTTCGTTACTTATAATGTTCATAGTTTGACACATCTGTATGAAGATGTGGTCAACCACAGCTGCAGTTTACAAGATATATCTGCTTTTCCTTTTGAAAACTATCTAGGCATTCTAAAATCTTATGTGCGCAAGGCACAAAGTCCCTTGTCACAATTGACAAAAAGAATAGAGGAGATAGAGAAATGTTGTGTAACAAGAAGCAAACAACAATCAAAAACTAAGATTTCAATTGGAAATAAAAATAGATGGTTTTTCATTCGTGGAGAAAAAGTAGTGCGTGTAAATAATGTCATTGGTAATGATATAGAATGCTATGTCTATCAAATATCTGATTTGGATGGGTTTTTTGATGATCCGTGTTGTTCTAAGTTGTTGCATATATATTTCCTTCATAAAAATGTACAATTCAAGATACAATTTATAAAAAAAGATCTAATTATTAAAAAAGTATGTGGTATTCCATACAATGATGGGTATGTGTTGGTGTTACACCACAATGTAAATTTTTGAATTATTTATCATTAAATAAAAGAGTTGTTTTGTATAAAAAAAAGTTATAAATACTTAGATAAAAATCCCAATAATAATTGAAGACCTAAGTCCTTAAAGTATTAATTCACAAAGAAAATGTTGTCAGAAAATATATTTTAATCGTTTATTTGTAAAATCTTTTTGTTTTTAAAATTTAAATTTATAAACAAAGTAACTAAATAAAAATCAAGAAATATAATAATTAAGTAAAGAAAAAATAAATTATTACTTAATGCATTTACTTTAAGTTTTTACAACAAAAAGGCTATATAAATAAAATGATTGAAATATGTTTTCTCTTAATTTTTTTTTGTGTGACTTAAGTACTTTGAGCGCTATAGTCTTCAATTACAAATAATATTTTTTCTATTAAAATTAAAAAACCAATTAATGAACAAATATAGATATTATAATAATGTTTATATTTATTTATTTTTTATCATTGTTTTTAAGTAAGATTTTAGTATTTTGTTTTTTTAAATATATATATATATATATATATATATATATATATATATATATATATATATATATATATATATATATATATATATATATATATATATATATACATTTAAAACATATAATAATTAATTTCTTTCACATTTATTTTAATAATTTCACTATTATATTAAACTATTAATAGGTATCATTATATTCGCTTTTTTTTTTAATGAAAAACAAAAATGAACTAACAATAACTATATGTACAAAAAATTGATGATAATAATTAAATTGCATTATTTGATAATAGTAAAAATATTTATCATTATTTGTTTTTTTGCAGCAATTTAATAATTGAGGATGTCTGCTTTGCTAATTTTTAGCTAGTATAAACAGAGCATTTATATAATTAAGCAATTAGTCTGAGAAAAAGTTTAACTATTAGTATTTTAGCAATATCAATATGTCTGACTTCCTTATTTTCAACTGGTATAAAAAGAATATTTTTATTTATACAGTCATTAGAAGCCATTTCAAAAAAAGGTAAAATTTACAGCTACATAATTTTGTTTTAATTTCTGTTTTTACTGTTATTATTTTGTAATATATACATATATATATATATATATATATATATATATATATATATATATATATATATATATATATATATATACATTTAAAACATATAATAATTAATTTCTTTCACATTTATTTTAATAATTTCACTATTATATTAAACTATTAATAGATTAATTTTTTTCTTTTGAGTTAGATAAACAGGTTTACTATAATTGTCAATTTCACAAACAAAATGTCTTGGACCAGAGCAGTATGGTTTGAATATGCAAAAGATGGCTCATTAGAGGAATATGAACAGACTCTTCCATCAAACTGGGTAAAGTGTAACAAAGTATTTTGGCCTAATAAAAATGTTGAGTCATCAATGAAAAAAATGTCCAATCCAACTGATGATTGGTATCAATTCAAACTGAAATACATCAAGCTAACTGGTAATTGAAGATTTATTAATATTAAATGATGTAATATATAAAAATGTTTTTAAAAAATATTTTATTTTTATTTATAAAAAATATTTACACAAAATTATTATTTTTTATGGGTTCTTTCAATTCGACTAATTTATTTGCACTATTTTCGATGATCACTTAAATTAGTAACTCCATCAAATGATTGAGTTACTAATCGCATGACTAAACGAATGCCCACTATACTCTTAAAGCACTTCATTGATGTCTCTTTCTAAAATAAATTCTTTAAAGATATAATTTTAAATTATTTATAGGTCTTTTTATATATTTAATGAGTGCTCATTAAATTTACTAAATAAATAACAGTCATCATTATGTTTTTTCCTTATAATAAGACTTTCAATGTAAACATTAATTGATTCCATCCTAGATGATGACAAAGAAGTATGTGAAGAGTATGGAGATAATGTGACAGCTGGAGAACTGGATAACAATGAAATGATGGTTAAGAGTTGTCCCAGCTTATCTGAAAAAAGACATGCAATTATTAAGTATATTCCAAAGCCAGTTCCACCGAAAATGCCAATAAGTAAAAATGATATATAATACTCAAAAATGATTATATTTATAACACTATTGTTTTCTTGTATAATAATAATATTCTTGTATAATAATATAATTTCTTTCATAGGAACTGTTACGCCGGATACAGATGTTCCACAAAAAGCAAAAAGGAACAATTCAAGTCAAAAAATTTCATCTGGTACCTTTTGCCTTAGTGACATATTTATTTTAAATTATTTAAATTTTTTTTAGATTTTCAAAATAACATATTAATGGTTTTCACTATAATAAATGTTATGTCAAACTATTTTAATGTTAAATTGGTTTCTAAAGGTTATACTCAAACCTCTTCTATACATGGTGGTTATTCTGGACTTACTGCTTTATCAACAGCTCACATACCAAAGCCATTTCTTTCAACTACTACCTCTTCTACATGTGATGATTTTTCTATACGCAAACCAACATTAAACAGTCAGACTACTACTAGTATGTTAGAAAGCTCATTCACAAATATTTCCACCAATTCACCTGCTGTTATTTCTCAATCTTATGTTAATTACAATAGAAGAGATTCTGCTTGTGCTCAGGACGAGTTAATTAGCTCAAAAAATCTCGAAGATAATGGTAGGTTTCTTTACTATATCATTTGTGATTTACAGCTGTCTTTTAACTTGCTGTTGTTTTGTATGCAACATATTCATTCAAGTATATCATTTATTGTCATGGAAAAGGCCAATAAATGTTTGCAAGATAGGTGGGGATGGAAGAAATTCCTGTCCCCTTGCAGCTCAGCTCTCAAATATATATATATATATATATATATATATATATATATATATATATATATATATATATATATATATATATTATATTTATAAAGTACTTTTTGTTTTCAAACTCAGGATTTCAACATATAGTATTACGGAGGTTGGCCCAAATAACCTTGCAAATGAGTGAAATATCCAAAAAGTTAGATGCAGTTAGTGGCACCAGAATGAAAGATGTTGAAGGAGAGATATTAATACAATTTGATGATATAGACGCTTTATATGAGTTCGATCGAAAACTTGGAGCTGACAAAAGGGTTTTTAAAAAGTTTGTAAGTTATTTTTCATTTAAATATAGTGTTGATTAGATTAAAATCTTGTGTGATGAACATGGCTACATTTACATTGATAGATCCTATAAGTATATTTTTTATAAATGTGTATATCATCAACTCCCGACCATCATGATTATCATGATCATTAGCATCATCATCATCATGATCATTAGCATCATCATCATCATTATGATCATCACCATCATCATCATTGTCATCATTATCCTTATCATCATCAGCATCATTTATGTGAATCTATTTATTTTGTCGTAAGTATAATATTTAAATATTATACTTACGACAAAATAATACAAATTTAAAATATTTTATACTAAATTGACTATTATACTGAAATTGACCATTATAGGTAAATTTGTGGGTATTTTTAAAAAACACCCCTCCTCATTGGCAAACCACCCTGAAGTCAAGATTTTCAGGAGATCCACATAAATGATGCTGCTGATGAAAAGAGGCCCTGAGCCCTGAAAATATTTAAAAAAAGTCATAAATACATTAAATAAATATCTAAATATTTATTAAATGTATTTATGACTTTTTTTAAATATTTTCTTTATCTTTCATAACAGATATTAGCTTAAACAAAATAAACAAAAACAGTGAAAAAGATTACAATACTATAAAAAAAATCTAACCCCAGCTAGTAACCCGGGGCCGGTGCCGGGTTTGTAAAAAGCTCTGTTTTGGGCCATGGCCCCGGTCACTTACTAGTAGCAGGATAACCTGACCTGTTATCTGCTAGGATGTTATCTAAAAATTCCATTGAAGATCTAGATGCTCTATTATGCAATATTGCCACATTGCTCCTATAGATATTGTTTTATTTTTATATCAGGTTAATCAGCTATCTTCCATTGGCGGTAACAATGGTAAAAAAAGTGTTGCAAACATGATAAACAGGTTAAAACATTTTTTAAATCAATAGTACTTACTATTTTTGCAAAGAAAATTAGTTTTTAAAAGCGATTTTTAATTATAGAAAAATAATGTTGAGTTTCTCTTTTGACATGTTTAAGGTTGATGACAAACAGACTTCAATCGAAGTTCAATTTGGTTGGTTCCAAGGGAAAGGTTACTGTGAAGTTACCTATGGAAAAGTTAAATGTTTACAAAGCAATAATTGGTAGCTATAGTGTTGATCTCTATATTTTTATATATTTATATTTCTTTTTAAAGGCTGCCTGTTGAAAATAAATGAATTTAGTTGAATTCACAAAAAGTAGATATAAAAATCTTCCTTGAACAAATTGAAAAATAAAATTAAATCAGTTTACATTAAAGTTGTAAACTTCATGTATTCGTATTAAATAGTGTAAATTGAAGACATTCTTTCTTCCTTTATCTACAGTTTTATTCACTTGACCAAATTTGATATTTTTGCATTTATTTTTTAGAATCGATTAAGCGCTGTGAGCCTAAAGCAACAGACAAAGAAACTAGGTCATTTATTGCCTCTTGCCTAAAATATGCACCTAATCGTTTGAATGGAGGTAAACGGAAATCTTGCAACCACGAAATAGAAAACGATGAAGTTCACAAAAGCGATAAAGAAATAAATCAAGGTGACGACGAATGCGAAGTAGAATGTGACGTTGCATCAAACAAAAGCGGAAGTAGTAGCGAAAAATAAAAATAAACTATCTTACTTTCCCCGACTTATTAAACTTTGTAACAAATATTTTTTTGTAAATTTTTTAAATGTTATCTTTCGAAAACGTTTATAAAACGTAAGTTGTTTTTTCGACGTTGAATCGATGTTAATATTTCAACGTAGATTTCTTGTTTCCAAATCAACGCTTAAATCAACGTTTGTAAATCAACGTAAGTTCATCGTTGATTTATTGACGTTGAATCTATGTTGATATTTCAACGTCGATTTCTTGTTTCCAAATCAACGGTTAAATCAACGTTTGTAAATCAACGTACGCTCAACGTTGATTTATTGACGTCGAATCAATGTTGATATTTCAACGTCGATATTTTGTTTCCAATTCGACGAATAAATCGACGTCTGTAAATCAACGCGTTATCAACGTTGAAATGCTTGCTGGGGGGTTATATCAACCTACTGAGCTAAGCTTCATCAAGTGTTTGATAGAAGATAAAAAAATCATTATCAAATGTTCTAAGGTTGACGTTGAAACGGCAGTTTTAAACCAGTCTTTTAAAGTCTGGAATATCAGAGAACAAAGAATCATATTTAAAAACCTGATGAAAGAAGGTGTTCCGAAAAAATCTAAATTAGACTTCAGACTAATTAAGTAAACTTTCAGTTTTATGCAGATTTCTTTACCTGTGATTTGGGTCACTAATCTCAAAATATAACTGGATTACAGATTGTATTGTTTGTTCCAAAAAAAGTTAAAGTTCGCCTCCCAATTTGGCGATTATAGTTTCTAGTGGTGAAATCGATTAAAGAAATTCTATTAGGCTTTATGAAATTACGAAAGAAAATAATTAATTTTTAAAAAATAGAAGAATACAAATGAATTTTAAAAATATTAAAGAAAAAAAAATTATCTTTTTGAATAATTGAATTTATTATTAAATTTACAGTTTTAGTTAAGTTTTATGTATAACTTATGTACCTTTTAGTGCTTAGTTATCAAATGCTGTGTGCTAGAAGGTTAATAACATAACAGCATGGTAAGCGGCAATCATGTCTACCTACAATTTTTATTCTCTATTTTTTGTAGCAAGATACCATTTTATATAAATGATGTATGAACTATATACTGAATGCTGTGAGTACACAAAAACTTAGGGACTCATGGTATAATTCTTAACTGGATTGAAAAAGGTTTATCATAAAATTATTTATTAACACATAAGCTCAAAACACAATTTATTAACACATTTATTTATTATATACACAACACAATTTATTATTTATACATTATTATTTATACAAATTATTATTATATACATAACACAATTTATTAACACAAATTATTAACACATAAACACAAAACATGAACTTGTTTACAACTGCTGTAAGGTGTTTACAACTGCTGTAAAAGAAATCGATCGAAGATTAAAAAATAAATAAATAAAATATCCATAAAAGTAATTTTTGATTAAAGAAAGAAAGAAGAAAGTAAATAAAATATCCATAAAAGTATTTTTTGATTAAATAAAGAAAGAAGAAACTTGCTTGTTTGTTTGAAAGTAGTTTTGCTGAAAGTTTAAATTTGTATAAGTGAAAGTTACTTTTAAAGTTGTTTGCCGGATTTGAAAGGTGATTATTGAGTGAGTCGTAATTGTATTTAATTGTGCGAAGATGGATCTATCAATGAAAAATATTGAGAAACTAATAATATCTAAGCTTGAAGATCAGAAGCAAAACATTTTAAAAGAAACTGAAAAACTATTTAAAAAACAAGAAGAAACTTTTACAAAAATAATGAGTTCCAACATAAAAATAATATCAGACAGACTAGATAAACTTGAAAAAGAACTTAGTTTTAATAAATCCCGAGTTGAAATACTAGAAAAAGATACTAGCGACATTAAAGATAGTATTAATTTCCAAGAGGAAAACATCAAGGAAATGCTGTCTCAACTAAATTTAAAGATCAATGAAGAAATAAATACTTTGAAAAAAAAAAAAATAGATCTAGAAAATAGATCTCGTCGCAATAATTCAAGAGTCGATGGTATTGCAGAACTATCGTCTGAAACGTGGGATGACTGTGCAAGAGCAGTTAAAAAGATCTTTAAAAACCAACTTGGAATTGCCAATGATATAGTGGTTGAGCGAGCCCATCGAATAGTAAGAGTTAAAGACAAGCTACCAAGAACTATAGTCCTTAAACTCCTAAATTATAATGATAAATGCAAAATTTTAACATCTGTGAAAAAACTTAAGGGCACAGATATTTTTATCAATGAAGATTATGCAAAAGAAGCCTTAGAACATCGTAAAAAATTGTGGGAAGAAGTTAAAAGACATCGTAAAGAAAGTAAGTATGCAGTAATCAAATTTGATAAAATTTTTGTTAAAGATATGCATAATTAAAATAATGTAGTCGCGGAAATGAAAGGAGATTCTAACTGTCACTGGAATGGCTGAAATTAGCAATTTTAAGCATCAAGCTTTTAATTTTTCAAAAATGAAAACTTTAATAGATAAAAATGTAGAAAAAGACCCTAATTATTCTCATGATTTAAATAAAAATTACTTTTACTATTATCCTAGTGAAATAGAAGGATCTCTTTTTAATTTCAATAACAGCGAACAAATTAAAATCCTTCACGTAAATATTAGAAGCATAAGTCACAACTTTGAAAAGCTCCTTTACTTATTAGAAGAAACTAAAAATGTTTTTAATATTATTTGTTTAACTGAAACTTGGATAAACGCAAACGATTTAAGTAATAACGCAAACTTTTATCTTCCCCGTTTTGAGTTAATATCCCAAGAGAGACATAAAAATAAACACGGTGGCGGAGTTCTTATTTACGTGAAAGAAACCATTGCGCATTACGTTAGGAATGATTTAAGTGTTTCTGACGGCGATAAAGAAATTTTAGCTATTGAAATCTTAAACAATGAATCTAAAAATGTATTACTAAGCTGCTGTTATCGACCACCTGACGGTCTGAGTGAGAATCTGAGCACGTTTTTTGAGCAAAATGTTATCAAAATAGGCATTGAAGAAAAAAAAAATAATGTTATTATTGGCGATCTAAACATGAATTTTTTAAACTACAAAAATGACTGTAAAATAAAAAAATTTTATGATTTAATATTTGAAATAGGAGCAATTCCTTTAATTAATCGTCCAACTAGAGTATCAGCAAACTCAGCAACTCTCATTGATAACATTATCACAACTGATGTCTTCAATATCAATATACAAAAAGGTATATTGAAAGCAGATATAACTGATCATTTTCCAATATTTCTATCATTCAACTCAAATTCTAAAATTAAAACCAAAACTAATAATAAAATAAGTAAACGCATATATAATATAAACAATATTGAACAGTTTAAAAAATAATTATCACTGCTTCATCGGAAGTATATAAATTTTAATGACGACGCAAATAAAATTTATGAAAATTTTTTTAAAACATTTTATTCTGTCTATGATGCCAATTTTCCCATCTGTGAAAAAACAATAAATCAAAAATGCCTAAATGTTCCTTGGATAACTAAGGGTTTTAAAAAATCATCTAAGATCAAACAAAAGCTATATATAAATTACTTAAAAACAAAAACATCTTTAAACGAAAAATTATTCAAAGATTACAAACATCTATTTGAAAAAATTCGTAAAAATTTAAAAAAGAATTACTACTCGAAATTAATTGAAAATGTTAAGAACGACTCTAAACGTACTTGGAAAATATTAAGAGAAATTGGTGGAAAACAAAAAACTTGCTCAGGTTCCCTACCGCAGGTGATTAGAGTGGATAACAAAGATATTTTTGAACCTAGATTAATAGCTCATGAGTTTAACAAATTCTTTATTGATATCGGTTCGAAACTAGCAAATAAAATTCCTAATACCCAAGTTGAGTTCAATAACTTTTTATCATCGATGGATGATTGCATTTGTTCAAATAATTTATCTTCTGAGCTATCATTTGAGGAGTTTCAAGTGTCGTTTAAATCTATTAAAAAAAACAAAGCCCCTGGAGCTGATGAAATAAATGGAAACATAGTCTTAGAATGCTTTGAACAATTAAAAGATATTCTCTTTAAAGTTTTCAGAGCGTCAATACAACAAGGAGTTTTTCCTGATAAGTTAAAAATAGCTAAGATAATCCCAATATACAAAGAAGGAGACAGAACTAATATATGTAACTACCGACCTATTTCTATTTTATCAACATTTTCAAAAATCTTAGAAAAAATTATTTACAATAGATTATATACTTATTTTAAGGAGAAGAATTTTTTTTTATAAAAATCAGTTTGGCTTTAAAAAAAATAGTTCTACTGAGCATGCAATCACTCAATTCGTCCGTGAAATCTCCAACTCTTTCAAAAATTCCCAATTCACTTATATAGGTATTTTTTTGGATTTATCAAAAGCATTTGATACAGTAAATCATGGCAATTTGGTTCATAAACTTAAATATTATGAAGTGGATGGAGTAATTTGAGGTGGTTTAAAAGTTATTTAACAAACCGAAAACAATTCGTTTCTTTTAACGATCCTTATCAAAAAAACGTTTTAGATATTTCATGTGGTGTTCCGCAAGGATCAATTTTAGAGCCACTTCTTTTTTTAATATACATTAATGACTTGCATAAAGCTTCTAATCTTTTAAGTATTATGTTTGCGGATGATACTAATTTATTTTTATCTGATAACAATATTAATAAACTCTTGAAAAACTCAAAATAATTTCTAGCTGGTTCAAATGCAATAAACTTACCCTAAATATTAAAAAAACAAAATGGATTTTTTTTCATTCGATAACTAAAAAACGTTATTAACCCCCAACTCTACCTGATATTTTTATTTACCATATTGAAATAAAAAGAGATTGCACCACAAAATTTTTAGGCGTATTCCTTGATGAGAACATCACATGGAAGCAACATATTGATTATGTTGGTACTAAAGTTTCAAAAAATACTGGAATTCTTTATAAGGCCAGAATCTATATAAATAAAAAAGTTTTATCCCAACTTTATTATGCATTCATTCATAGCTATTTGAATTATGCAAATATTGCTTGGGCAAGCACTGAAAAAAGTAAGTTACA